AGCTTTTAGACGGTGCTGCCTTTGACAAGCTTCGCGAGGAGATCCGCCCCCCTGGCGAGCGAAGTGGCGCGGTGGGCGTGGCGGCGGAAGGCCCCCCCCCCCTCCGGAGGCCCGCGACGGGCCTGAGGCGGTCGCCCCGTCGGCAGAACCTATGGCGAGGGTGTCGCCCGGGGACCTTTCCCCCGTCCGCTCGACCCCAGGACCTGTCTCCTGTCGGGTCTCCTTCCAGCCCGCTCGCCTGCCGTCTCTGGGAGGCGGGTCTCTCCTCTCCGGAACGGGCTCGGCCGCGTCCGATCCCGGCTCTGAAGTCGCTCGTCCTGCTCTCGACCCCGTTCCGAACCCCCTCGCTAGCGAGCCCCGGGGGGCGCCCCTCAGTTCCAGACCTGCCGGCAAGACGGAAACGAGATCGGCGTCCGACGGGGTCGGGGGCGGCCCGGAAGCTCAACGCCCCAAATTAACCCCAGTCGAGGAGCTGGGCCCCTCGCCCACGATTCCTCTTCAGTCCGGACCGGCGCAGGGAGGTCTCCCGGCGCTTGGCTCCAGTGCTTCAGGCTTGCTACCCCGCCCGCGTCCCGAGCGAGAGGTTCAGGCTGCGGTCGTTCCCGAGGCGGGGGGTGGGTCTCTGCGCATCGGCTCCAGTCGCGGCATCTCTGTGCCGCGAGCGCGGCCCGCTGCTGTCAGTGGCGCACCCCCAGTTCGCGCTGCTCGCAGCAGGCCCCCCGAGAAAGGCGCGGTCTCATCGCCTATGGATTTCTGGGGGCGGCGCGAAGGATGAGGAAGGCGGAGGAAGCGCTCCGAGGGGGTCGCCCGTCTTCAACGCAGGGTCCGATCCTTGGTCCTTGGGCCGCCCCCGATGAGGAACAGGACAGCTTACTGATTCGCAAGTTGCTCGAGTGGACGGGGCAGATGGGGCCCCCCGATCACGTTTCATTTTTCGTTCTCGATCTTCCAGGCCCGAACGAGCCGTCGTTTCTCTCCTCGGCGTCTGTCGCGGCGCCCGCTCGGGTCAACCCGTGCTATGGGCCGAGGATCGGCTCCGATTCGCCGCGGCAGACGCTAAGGAGTGGAACGCCATGCTCGCGACCAGCGCCGCGCGCGTTCTTTCGCCCGACGAATCTTGGATCGCTCGCAAGTGACTTCCGGATAGAATTAATCATCTCGCATGGTGCCTCGCTTCGCGCCAGTGGAGGGGTCGGTGCTCCACCCGACCCCAAGTCATGGTGGTGTGTCCACGGCCATCAAGATCCGGACAGCGAAACGCTAGTTTCAGTCCGAGACCGTGCTTATGGTTCTCCAAGTGGCGTCGAGTTTCGGGTGGAAGCTGAATGCGGCCGACGCCAGAAATGTTTCCTGCCGGAGCCGCAAGCTTGACCGCCCCCGGGGGGCCATTTTCGTGGAACCCTGCTCCGGATTGCCCTTCGGACCGGATCAGCTTATCGAGTTGGTGGCTCCCGTGTGCTGTTTGAACGACGCCCCCCTACTGTGGCGCCGGACCCTTCGCGGATTGGCTGTCGGCCAGATGCTTTGTGAAATCGATGCTCGAGCCTTGTCTCTGGCTGAAACGCGATCGGTTCAGGGCCCTGGAGGGTCTGGTTGTCATCGAGGTGGGCGACCTAATAGTGTCAGGTCGACCCGGTTTCCTGGAAGTCTGTGAGATGCATGCTATCTCCTGTTACAATTTCGGAAAGTGGCAGGAAGGAGAAGCCGACTGCGCGGGCAGATACCTGAAGCAGTTTGGCGATCGGATTGCCGTCGGCCAAGATAAGTACACTCGGGAACAGCTGTCTATCGGGCCCCCGGATCGCTCGAGACGCGCCTTGCCGGGCCCCCCCCTTTCTCCCTCCGAGATCCGCTCCTTTCGAGCGGTCGTGGCCCAGGTCCAGTGGGTGGCCCAGGAGTCGCGCCCGGACGTGGCGGTGGGTGCATCTATCCGGGCGGGCTCGACGCCGTGTCCGACCGCGGCAGGCGCTTTGCTTCTTAACGAAGTAGCGAATGATTTCAAGGCCACGTCATCCCTGCGTTTGACTATTTGGGCCCTCGATCCGACGCCCCTTGTTTTCGTCGCTGCTTCCGACGCGGCAGGGCCTGGGTCGGCCAGTAGAGGCAGCTGGCGCCGGGATTCGAGCCAACCGACGGGCCCGCGCCCCCCTCCTCTCCTGGCGGTCGCAGCGTCTGAAGAGAGTGATCAGTTCCACCTTTGCCGCTGAGACGCTAGCGCTGAGCTCGGCCGTGGCAGAGGCCCAATGGCTGCAGTTGCTTCGGAGGGGCGCCGCGTTCGGCGATGTTTCCCGACCCTCCTGAGACCTGTCCGCTTGGCCGCTTTCCGTTGCGATGTCGAGCACGTGCGTGCTAGGCTTCAAGGCGTCAGCTCTGGGCGTCGTGGATGCCGAATCAGTGATCGACATTTTTTCTAAGAGTTCGGCCGGCTCGAAGGCAGACCGCCGCAATGCGATCGAGCTAGCTGTGGTCAGGGGCTCGATGGCAGCGACAGGTTCCCAGATTCACTTGCTGCCTCGCGGCCGACTGCCTGCTGACCCGCCCGCGCATGTAGATCCAGCAAAGGGAAATTTGGCCCTAGCGGGCTTGCTTGGGCGAGGGGCACTCTGTCTCGTGGATGAGGGGGGCCGCTCAATATTTCCTCCATATTCAAGCCTGAGGGGCCCCAAAATGACGAGAGTTGTAGGCTTCCGATGACAAGCTCGGATTACCAGCGTGAAGTGTGGGCCCCATAGGGAGGGGGGGCCCCCGCCTGAGACTTCCTTGCGTTTCGTGCAGTGACGAGGCTCCCGCCTGATACCTCTTCCATATCCTGAGGAACCCAAAAGTGACGACAGTTGCAGGTTTAGTCTCGGGCGGGGGCCCCTTCTTTATGGGGCCCGCATTTCATATTGGTAATGCGAGCGGGCCATCGGAAGCTTGTAATTGTCGTCATTTTTGGTGTCCACAGCCTTGAATATGGAGAAAGTATTAGGCGGGAGCCTCGTCTGTGAGTGAATTGTAAGAAAGTCGCAGGTGGGAGCTCCTTCTCTATAGGGTCAGCGTTTCGTGCTGGTAATCCGAGCGGGTCATCCTCATCCGTATGACTGTCGTCACTTTGGAGCTCCTCAGGCTTGAACATGGAGGAAGTATCAGGCGGGAGCCTCGTCTCTGAGTGAACTGCGAGGGCGTCTCAGGCGGCAGACCCCTTTTTAATGGGCCCGCAGATAGCATTTTTGATGGGATCTCAGGTGGGAGCCCCCTCCTTATGGGGCCCGTATTGTTTTTAGTCCGAGCGGGTCTTCCTTGTCCGTGTTACTGTCGTCACTTTGGGGCTCCCGAGGCTTGAATACGGAGGAAGCATCCGGCGGGGAGCCTCGTCTGTGAATGAATTGTGAGGAAGTCTCAGGTGGGAGCCCCCTCTCTATGCGCTCTTGAGAGGGCGACTCGCCCGACCCATCAGGTGAGGAGGAAAAGGAAGAACAGGAGGTGAAGACGACGACGTCTGGGTTGGGGGTGGTCACCGCCTGAGCGAGGCCGTGACTAGCTCGGTGCCTGCGGGGTTGTCGCAACGGCTTGCTCCCGCGCCCCAGTGGCTCGCGCGGTTGCCTCAACGGCCTGGCCCGCGGGGTTGTCCCGGCGGCCGCGCGACGCGGCCATTCGAGAATGCGCCCGCGCTGGCCGAGGCGGCGACGGCGTCGAGGAACATCGACGCACGCGCTCCTGCAATAGACAGGAGAGGAGGTGGTGGGTGACGAAACAAACAGCAGGAGGGCGAGGCACGGGCAACGCACGGAGCGGGAATGATAATGATGCGGAGAAGACAATACGGGTGCTTCACTAATCGCGAGGACGACAGTGAAGGATATTTCCAGGTTGTCCGAAAAGATTTTCACGTGGGTCCTTCCGTCGGAGTAATTGTTTTTTGTTCACGGAGTGCAGAAGTGGAGGCAACTTTGCGCGGTGCCAGTGTGGGGCGTTTTGGAAGTCCTTCTTCCCCGCTGCAGAAGCGATGCAACTCCTGTGCCCGAGTATCGCCCCCAATGATGCCGAAAAGCGCCCACGGCCGCCCCATGTACCGATACATCTCCCCCCTCCGACGACGAGAGGCCCACTACCGTTACAGCCCGCCGTAGGCAAGACGTCTCGGGACAACTTGCCGCGCTGCGCCTGCCAGGCTCCGTGGAAGCACCCTGTGAGCCGTGCTGCGCCCGCGTCGGTGCCGCCGTGGGCCGCGGGAGGGAGCGGTTGAAGATAGTAGTCGATTCCAGGAGTGACAACTGGGAATGGGTTAGTAATTTTAGGGGCCTTCACAGGGGGGTTGAGGATTGGGTTAGGATTGGACATCGTGGCTGATGCCATGACCTGTCCCAAATTTCATGGGGCTTAGTTTTTCTGTCAACGCATCCCCTGGCCCACCTTCGTCCGCACACATGCCTCGGGCCATGATGTGCGACCCCACTGTTCCTGACTCCCTTCAATCCGGCGCACCCAACCATGATATCATTGCAGTGAGACGGGCAAGCAGACCGAGAGCACGTGGTCGGTGCCTGGTAGACGCCATGTTTTGGGTTAGGAGAGGCTGTGGGTTCCGCAGCGTGTCCTTACTTGGCAACGTAACCGCGTCATGCTTCCATGTGTGCGTATCAGCAGAGATGAAACAGTGCTCGTGCGTTTACCTGAATTAAGTACGCGCGCGCTGCTGACAGCAGGTCTACGCCTCCGCAACCTTGCCCCGCAAGGTGGCCAGCGGATCTCGCATCATTTCTGTGATTCCGGAGTGGGCAGGGCGTGGCATGCCAGTGAGGAACAATTGTCAGCAGGGAGCTTTCCCGAGCAGGCTGCTCAGGGATCGCTCGCTGTCGTTCGGCTTCTTCTTCATCACGGAAGCTGTAGACTCAGGTGGAATCGCCAGTCGAGACAGCGTCTGGTGTACCAGAGGAGAGCAGGTAAATTTGTTCTGGCCAGACGTAAAGGCCGTGCGATGTGGCGATTCACTTTGGGCTCGCCCCGTGCTCACCGAGGCGTGGGTGCGGATCAGAAACTCGGCCAGGGACGTGTACGCCTTTATCCAGTTCAGGGAGGCCAAGGCCAGGCCCGCGGCCCTGTGTGATCTGGAATGTTTGGGCTCTCGTCCTCTTTCTGTGCATCTCCTACTTTGGGTCTCCTCCTCTCCCCTCATCGCTGTTGACGTTCTGTGCCCTTTCTTCTTCCACGTCCACCTTGCGGCATATGCCGACTCTCACTTCTCTCCTCTCTGCCAATATGTTTGATTGGCATTGGCCTGTTCACACATTGTACGTCATCGAGACTGTCAAGATGTTTCCCCAGTCCCTTATGATGTTGCTGCTGCACGTGACTTGCTGTGATCGCCCCGGCGTTGTCAGAGCCCCCCCTGCATTTCCCCTTTCTGTTTGTTCTCCCGCTTTCGGACCTCACGCCGCAGGAGCTTGATGGTGCCACCCCCTGCCCGACGCATCACAGCCCGAAGCGAGGTCCTCAGTGAGGCGCCCTCGCCGTCCCGCTTACCCTGTCCAGAACAAAGCTAACCCTGTCTTCCAGCGTCGTCGTCGTCGTCATTTTCGAGGGCTTCGAAGGACCTCGAGACGCTTTCAGAGGCTTCGGAGACCTCCAGATCCCTTCAGTGGCGGACGTCGTCGTCGTCCTCGTCGTTGTCGTTGTCGTCGTTGTCGTCGTTCTCGGTTGGGTTTTCGTCGTCGTCCTGGCGTCGTCGTCGTTGTCGTTGTCGTTGTCCCAGTCGTCGTCGTTGTCGTCGTCTCCGAGGGTCCCGAAGGGCCTTCAGAGACCTCCCGAAGCCTCTGGAGACCTCTGCAGCTCTTCAAAGGCGGCCGCCGTGGTCGTTGTCGTCGTCGTCGTCGGTTGTCGTCGTCGTCGTCTTCGTCGCCGTCTTCGTCCTCGTCCTCGTCGTCGTCGTCGTCGTCGTCGTCGCCGCCGTCGTCGTCGTCTTCGTCGTCGTCTTCGTCCTCGTCCTCGTCCTCGTCGTCAACGTCGTCGTCGCTGTCGTCGTCGTCGCCCTCGTCGTCGTCGTCGTCGTCGTCGTCCTCGTCCTCGTCTTCGTCCTCGTCCTCTTCGTTTTCTTCGTACTTGCCGTCGTCCTCGTCGTCGTCCTAGTCGTCGTCTTTATCGTCGTTGTCGTCGGCGTCGTCATTGTCGTCGTCGTCCTCGTCGTCGTCCCTGTGATTGTCCGCCGTCGTCCTCGTTATAGTCGACGCTCTGAGGTCCTCGAAAGGCCCCTGGACGCCTCCAGAGGCCTCACGAGACATCCGGAGTCGTCCAGAGACCTCCCGAGATCTTCGGTGGCGGTCGTCGTCGTCCTCATTGTCGTCGTCGTCGTCGTCGTCGCTGTCGTCGTCGTCGTCGACGCCCGTCTGGACGATCAGGGGCGCCCTGACCTCCACTCTCACGGATGTCGCGTATAGGCTTGGACGTGTGGGATCAAGAGGTTTTCGTCCAGTTCAGGACCAAGATGCTTTAACTCAGTCCATTTGCAGCCTTATCGATCTTCGACACGCCGCTCACGATGCGCGGACACGACACGTTTTCACATTAGTTTCGAATATTTTACGTCGCGAGTTCTTGGCTGCCAAACTCCAGCATGAGTGCCCTGAGCTTCTGCGAATGAGGCGAGGAGCACGTGGTCAGTTTCAGTCTGCATGGATGGGCAGGCTGATGAATGGGGACGGCAGGCTGATGAACGGCTACCACATCGCGGTGACTTTTTTCCGAGACTCGTACACATCGGCGAATTTAAAACAGATTCCCGATTTGATCAGTCGGAGATGGGATCGAGCTGATCTCCATGCGCTGGGGGGCATCTCTCCGGCGCCGGTGCGGAATTGTACCATGAAGCTCAAGAAGTGAACGAGCTGTGCCAGGTCCGACATGATGGTCGCCGAGATGTTGCAGGAGGCACCAGAGGAAGTGTTCTATATTCTCGCTGCTCTCTTCAGCTCGTGCCTCGTAAGCCATCCAACCCTTCCAAATGATGACGTTTTTTTTTGACGAGTTTGACATTCACTTGATAGAGAAGGTCGTGAACCCGATTTTGATACAGAAGTGGAGGCCCAGTGCACTTTGTCTGTTCAATAGGAACTTTACATGATTGTTTTGTTTTGTCTGAGGTGGAAAAACTCGGTGATATCGAATTGTCTCGGCACCACTTCGCGTTCAGGAGGTCGTATCACGTCACAGATGTACACTTCATATTTCGCACGTTGACGGAAGAAAACACTCGGGCTTGATATTGGCCTTTATTTTCGACGGGGACCTGTGCAAGGCTTACGATGCTGTTGATCACGGTGACTGGGTCGACGCTTTTCAGAAGACAGGCGTTCCGAACTTGACCACCGCGGGTATGATCCGTGAAGTCAGGAGCCCACGGGGGCGTCCTTGCTTCCCAAGACAAACACGTACGTCGTCGCCGACGTGACCCTCATTCGCCCTTTCTTGATATTGTGTGCGAAAGATGGTTGGGACGTCTCTGTCGAGCACGACGATTCGTTGGCGCTGGAAGAGGCCAGGCTGGTACCGGAGCTAACGCAAATTACCGGGCCTTTTACTATTTTCGCGCTCGCAGATTATATTGTTTGTTGGCCAGATCTAAAGTTCAGTTACAAAAAAACTGTCGATGCTTGGCACGCCAGGGTGCGTGATCACGGATGGACCGTGGAACTTGCGGTGCGTGCGCGGTCATCTACGAAATATTGCGAACATCCACTGGTTATTCACGACGCGTGGGCAAGCCCAGACCCATCTCTCGTGGGCCCTCCGCCAGAAAAACGTGCCAAGAAGGCGAACGACAAGTCCGTGGCTTCGCACCTTTTCACTCCGCGTGCCAGGGGCTTCCAAGGTCTTGGGGCACATACACATTATGAACAACGATGCGACGGTGGAAGTGGACAGGAAGATTCCGAGCTCGTGGGCTGCATTCGGTACACTAGACACCGCCATTCCCATCCATCGGCGTTCGGAGTTTTTGTCAATTCGGAATGCCATCCCTTACTTGCAACATCGGATTGTACACCGATCGAAGAGACATCTCCAGCGTATACGGGCAACAGGAAACAAAGTGATGCGTCGCGTCCTTAGTACAAAGCTCAAGAGTTCTGCGGACAGGCGTCCGACCTTCGACTTCGATTGGGACGAAACTCTGGTTGGGGAGCGCTGCCGCAGTATTAATGAGAAGCTGAACCGGCTGCGGAGAAAATGCAACATGGAACGCTGGGACAGAATATGCTTGGAGAGAGTTCCCATCTGGGCCGGGGATGTGGTTCGTCTTGGCAAGTATGCGCAGAACAGGATCGCTTGGCAGTCTTTGCGAATCCGTGGCGTGGCATATTTACTTCACTTGGAATATCCCAGCGCGACCCTGCCTAGGAATTGGAGCATTTTGGAAAGCAACATCTACATCTACACCGACAGCTATATTTACATCTACACCTGCATCTACATCTACATCAACATCAACAGCGAGACTCACATCTACATCTACATCTACACCTACATCTACACCTACATCTACATCTGCATCTACATCTGCATCTACATCTGCATCTACTCTACACCTACATCCACATCTACACCTACACCTACATATACATCTACATGTACCTCTACACATTCGCATTGGTTTTGCTTTTGCTTTGCATTGCCTTTGCTTTTGCTCTTGCCTTTACTTTTGCCTTTGCCTTCGTTTTTTTTGCTCTGTTGCTTTCGCTATGCTTTTGTTCTTGCTTTTGCTTGATTTTGTTTTTACTTTGCTTGCGCGCAGCTATACTCTGATATGATATGCTGCGCTATGCTATGCTATGCTAAGCTATGCTATGCTGTGCTATGCTATGCTGCGCTATGCTATGCTATGCTGTGCTGTGCTGTGCTGTGCTGTGCTATGCTAGGCTGTGCTGCGCTGTGCTATGCTAAGCAATGCTATGCTATGCTAAGCTATGCTATGCTGAGCTATTTGCTATGCTCTGCTATGCTTGGCTATGCTATGATATGCTATGATGTGCTCATGCTGCGCTATACAATGCAATGCTGTGCTGCGCTAAGCAAAACTAAGGTAGACTAAGCGAAGCTAAACTAAGCTAGAGCTAAACTAAGCTAGGCTAGGTAATCTAAGCTAAGGTAGGTTAAGCTAGGCTAGGCCAAGTTAAGCTAAGCTAAGCTAAACTAAACTAAGCTAGCCTAGGCTAAGCTAAGCTACGATGAGATAAGCAAAGCTAAGCTAAACTAGGCTAAGCTAAGATGAAATAAGCTAAGCTAAGCTAAGCTAGGCTAAGCTAAGCTAAGCTAAGCTAAGCTACTGGGGGAACCGCGGGGCGGATACTGGGGGAACCGCGGGGCGGATGCCGGGGGAACCGCCCGGGGCGAGGAACATTGCCCGGCCCCTTAAGCATACAGGGTAAGAACCCTTCTAGGCAGAGCCTAGGTCGGGAAAAATTTGTTTGGCCAGCAATGCCACGGGAAACGTTTTCACGCGTGGTATTGCGAGCGCCAGTTCTCAAACATATTGGGCGGCGACTGGTTGAACTTGGCCATGGACCAGGAGCAGTGGGCAGATTTCAAAGAGTTTTATTTGAAGTATCGGGTTCTGAGTTTCAATATGAGCTGGTGCGCCCAGCCTGCACGCCTGTAACCGCAGACCTTCGGGCAAGCAGGGTGACGAACGCACGTCGTCTTCGTCGTCGCGGTTGTTGTCGTCGTCGTGGTCGGTGTCGTCGTCGTTTTCGTCTTCGTTGTCCTCGTCGTCGTCGTCATCGTCGTCGTTGCGGTCGTCGTCGTCGTTGTCGTCGTTCTCGTTTTCGTCCTCGTTCTCGTCCTCGTCCTTGTCGTTTTCGTCGTTGTCGTCGTCGCCGTCGTCATCCTCGTCGTCGTTCTCGGCTGGGTTTTCGTCGTCGCCCTTTCGTCGTCGTCGTCGTCGATGTCGTCGTCTCCGAGGGTCCCGAAGGGCCTCCAGAGATTCCCCGAAGCCTTTGGAGGTCTCTGCAGCTCTTCAAAGATGGCCGCCGTGGTGGTCGTCGTCGTCGTCGTCGCCGTCGCCGTCGTCGTCGTCTTTGTCGTCGTCGTCGCTGTCGTCGTCGTCGCCCTCGTCATTGTCGTCGTCCTCGTCCTCGTCCTCGTCTTTTTCGTCGTACTTGCCGTCGTCCTCGTCGTCGTCTTCGTCGTCGTCTTTATCGTCTTCGTCGGCGTCGCCGTTGTCGTTGTGTTTCCCGTCGTCGCCCTCTTCGTAGTCCTCGTTCCGAGGGCCTCGAAGGGCTTCCGGACGCCTCCAGAGGCTTCACGAGAAATCCCGAGGCGTCCGGGGACCTGTGGAGATTTTCAGTGGCGGCCGTCGTCGTCGTCGTCGTCGTCGTCGTCGTCGTCGTCGTTTTTGTCGTCGTGGTCGTTGTCGTCGTCGTTCTCGTCTTCGTTACTCTCCTCGACGTCGTCATCTTCGTCGTCGTCGTCTTCGTCGCCGTCGTCGCTGTCGTCGTCGTCGTCGCTGTCGTCATCTTCGTCGTCGTTGTTGTTCTCGTCCTCGTCCTCGTCGTCGTCCTCGTCCTCGTCCTTGTCGTCTTCGTCGTTGTCGTCGTCGTCGTCGTCATCATCGTCGTCGTTTTTGTGTTCGTTCTCGTTTTTTTCTTTTTGTCGTCGTCGTCGTCGTCGTCGTTACCGTTCGCCCCTATGGGGAGCCGGATCCCCCCCTGACCTGACGTGGCGGAGCGGCGGGCAGGAAGCTCGCCTGGCCGTGTATGAGATGGACCAGAGCTCGGACTTCGGCACGGGCAAGGGCGGCGTCATGAAAGTCTCCATGGCGAAGCCGACGGAGGCCGGCGTCCCCGCGGCGGCAGCAGCTCTCTAGTCGAGGGGGCGCGTCGGTGGTTTGGGCTCAGGAGAGGCATCTCCGCTTCCTTACTCCACCTCCTCCTCCTGCCACCCCGTCCTCCTCCACCTCTTGGAGGGGGAGCGGGGGCCGGTCGACGCAGCATGATGGGGTCGCCTGGAATTGCAACGATTTCTGGTGACCTCTGTGGGTCCTGCAGGGCGGAGGAGACTCACACATCGGAGCTGACAGTATTGGTGTGCCGCCTTGTCGAGAAAAGGGAAGGCCGATGGGCGCCGGTAGTTGTGCCTGCCAGAGCTGGAGGCGCGGGTGCTGGCGGGCTGGGCGCCGGGGCTAGCTGGACTGGAACATCGGGGCGCGCAGCTGAGAGCGGCTCCGGGCCGCTGGCGGACGGGCGTGTTCGGTCTGCGTCGAGGCTCGGAGAGAGAGAGGAAGGCGAAGCGGAGGAGGAGGGGGGGAGAACGGAGCAGAACGTCGATTACGTGGCGGGTGAGGGCGGCGTGATGTTCCATTCATGAGCAGACGATTTTTTCCCGAGCGTCCCACCCTCCTCGGGGGGAAGTAGTTCTCGAGCCCCGCACGGAGAAAACAGTAGTCGGAAATCAGAGGCCCGGCCAACCTCAGCCGACAGCACCATCCGGCCAAGCACGCGCCAGAGCACCCGTCGGCGCGCACGGGCCCGCAACAGAGCTAAGAGAAACAAGCTGCGTGCGCTGAGCGTGACGGTGAGGGTAAGTGAGACGAGGTGTAAAAGAGGGAGGAGGGCCCGCTCATGGCCCCCAGCGCAGCAGTCGCGGCATCGCCGCGTCCCCGTACCTGGCCGCACGTCCGCCCGCGCGGTAGCGACTCGCCTCGTGAGGGAGACTGGTCAAGGCGCCGCCACGCTTCACGCCGCCCCCGCGCGGCGAGTGGCACGGCAGCGCACGACTCCAGAGGGCGGACCAAGCCGCAGCGCCATGGTAGATACCGCGGGAGTGCCCGTTCCTGCATGTGCTGCCGCTCTCCAGAGTGCTGCTCAGCGTCCGTGCTGCTCACGGCGGTGCTGCTGGAGTCCGTGCTGCGGACGATGGTGCTGCTGAAGTCCGTCTTGCTGCACGCAGTGGTTCTGATTGTGTCAGTCGTACGGCTCACGATGGCGCTGCTGGACTCCGCCTCGCTGCCCCTGGTGGTGCTGCCGAGGTCCATCATGCCGCTCACGAGGAGCTGCTGGAGACCCTTGTGTGCTGCCCCCAGTGGGGCTGCTGGAATCCGTCCTGCTGCTCTTGGTGGTTCTGCTGGAGTCCGCCGTGTTGCTCACGTTGGTGCTGCTGGAGTCCGTCGTGTTGCTTACGATTGTGGTGCTGGGCTTCGTCGAGCTGCTCACCGAGGTGATGCCGAAGTCCGTCGTGCTGCTCGCGATGGCGCCGCTGGAGACTCTCGAGCTGCCCCAGGCGGTGCTGCCAGAGTCCGTCCTGCTGCTACAGTGGTGCTGCTGGGACCCATGCTGCTCCCGGTAGGGCTGCTGGGGTTCGCGGTCGCGGATGTGACGGGCGGCCCGCGCCAGCTGGAATGGCGGGCGGCCCGCGCCAGCGGGTGCGACGGGCGGCTCGCGCTGGCCAGAGTGGCGAGCGGCATGCGCCGGTGGGTGTGACAAGCGGCTCGCGCCGGCTGGCGCGGCGGGCGGCTCGCGCCGGCGTCGTGCTGCTCCCAGTGATGCTGCTGGAGTCCGACCTGCTGTCCACGGTGGTGCTGCTGGAGTCCGCGCTGCTCGCCGTGGTGTTGCTGGAGTCTGTGCTGCTGGAGTCCGTCGTACTGCCCACGATGGCGCTGCTGGAGTCCGTCGTGATGCCCACGATGGTGGTGGAGTCCGTTGAGCTGCTCGCCATGCTGCTGGTTTGCCACAGTATGCCGTGGTGCTCGTCGTGGTGCTTGACCATGGTGTACAGCGTGGAGACACACGCATACACAACACACACAACACACACACAACACACAACATACAACACAACACACACACACATACATACACGCACACATACACACACGTACACACATCCACACACGTACACACATGCACACATACACTTTTCCCAAGTGCAGGGCGGCGGCGTGCAATGCGAACCCTGTCCCATGTGGAAGATTGAGACTGCTGCTCATTGCCAGAACCACGGCACAAGGGACGACCACGCCGCCCAGGAGAGCGCAGCGGTAATCTAAGCGGTCCCCGTCTGAAGCGGCGCCCTTGCCTGCACAGGCTTGGTCCAATGTGCCAGTCAACAACTGCCTCCGACATATCTCATGCTGTGCTGAGCGGCTGTTGCCCAGAATCTGTCCAGGATTGGCCAGGCGATAATCACTGACCCTTCCTGCCCGAGTCCAGGGCCATGGCAATTTCTCATCCACGGAGGAAATACATCGCACCACATGTGTGCACTTTGAACCGCGTCGGCCCGAGCGGGGGCGCTCGGCTTCGGGATGGCATTCACATCTCTGGTCTGGCAGCAGCCGCCGCCACTGCGAGCCGCCCGTGACACCTGGGTGGAAAGCCGGCACTGGTGCGAGCCGAGCGCCTCCAGCTGGCGACAATAGGCTGGCATCCCCTGGAGCTGCAGCCAGCAGCAGCAGCAGCAGCAACAGCCGTCTCCAGCGCGAGCCCGCACGTCACCTATACTTATGCGCACCTCAGATTTCTCGAAATGGGATTCCAGAGGTGCCAAGTGTGTGTGTGTGTGTGTGTGTTGTCGGACGGGGGTCCCCGCTTGAACATGAGCCCCCGTTGGGCGTCGGGGTCCGACAACTCGCACCCATACCTATAGCGCCTTCATCGCCTTGCCTCTCCCGATTCCTCCTCCCTGCAGGTTTAAGTGTGTGTGTGTGCGTGTGTGTCTATAGCCCTTTGGCTCAAGGCCGTATGGGGCAACCCCTTCTCAGGGGCCCTCGCCCTGGGCTCGGGCCCCCTGCCCGCGCGTCACGGCCCCGCGGGGGGGGGGGGGAGCCGCCCGCGCGCCCGCCCTGGGCTCCTCGGCCCCGCTGCCGCGGGGTGCCCGCTCGTCCCGAGCTCAGCCGCCCTGGGCCGTCCAGGGTCATCATCCGTGGGCTATGAGCCCTGCGACGGATGGTGCTGCCCCTTCCCCCGGGGGGGCCTCCGAGGAGGCCCACGGCGAGGGATCCATGTGTGGCTCTCGCGCTAGGACCCCCTCCTCTGGGCCAAGCCTCGTCCGAGATGGGGCCCCCCTCTGGGCCAAGCCGCGCCCCGCAGACGCCGGGACCACCCAAAGAAACGTTGGTATGATGAGTTGCGCGGGATTTTATTCTGTCTGTGAACGAAGCCGGGTTGATCTTGCCCGAACAGAGGTATGGGAGTCACTCGAGAACACATTCGTGAGTAGAGCATGATTTGGACTGCTTGATTTTCCACTGCGTGGCACGTTGCTTCACTTTCTGGCGCTACGGCGTCCGCCTGCAGCGCCCTCGATGGCGTGCACTCGCAGGTTCTGTCTGTCTGTCCGTCTGTCCGTCTGTCTCCTGAACCCGGCCCCTGAGGGGCCGACGGGGACCCTAGCTTTTTGGACGACGATCGCGATCGCGATCGGGGCATCCCTTTCGTTTCGAGGGCTTCGCCCGTCATCCGCTCTTTCGCCGACTTACCCCCTCAGCCAATGGAGGTCCCCCTGGTTCGTGGGCGCCCCTCCTGACGGCGGACCGTCCCGCAGTCTAACGCCAAGGCCGCGCCTCCCTTTCCTTTCCGTGCCCCCCTCTCCCCGTACCTCTTTGACTCGCCCCTTGCCCCAGCGGCTCCCTGTGCCTCCCTGCCACCGAAGAGGGCACCGCTTGGGCATATCGGGCGGGACTCCGAAGCACTTTTGGGCCCTCTCCGTTTCTTCCCCCCGCAGGCACTTGGAGGAGTGGAGGACCAAGGCGCCGAGGCACGGATGGATGGCGCTATCGGGGGCACCGCCCTGGCTGAGGAAGGTGCCGAATCGCCGCCTCGCGTTGTAGTCCCCCCCCTCCTGCGGGAGGCGTGCCTCCTTTCCCTGTGCGCGGGCAGGCGGAGGGAGGGCCCCCACGGCGGCGTCGCGTCCCGCGGTGCTACAGGCTGGTCACCCTCTCCTGCTGCAGGACCGCCCCGCGCAGAGGACGGCGACACCCAGGCCCTTGCTTAGCCAGGTCACGTCGCGGCGAGGGTTTCCCCTCCAGTGTCGCCTCTGTCGGGCCATCCTCCCCTGCTGTGGGGCCGCCCCCCGCCAGGGAGGGTGGCGTCTCCGGGCCCCGCTGGAACTCCCACGGTGTGGAGCACGCTATCGATCTGAGTGTTTCCCTTCAGGAGTATTTTCCTTCGTCACCTCCCAGCCCAGGTCTTCCTCCTCGCATCTCCGTTCTCGCGGGCCGCCTTATCGAAAAGTTTCCCTCGGAACGTCGGATGCGCAGGCCGCCTGGGCCACTAACGAGGCTCGGCCCCGAGCGCCATCGTCTCGACGAGCGAGGAAACGGAGGAATCGTGCCCGAAGGAGTCGGGGCTCAGACGGGCAGTGCCGTTTTCGCACCTGGCCCCGCGGCGGAGGCCCAGGCATCCGTCGCTCGCTGCGGGGCCGCCCCCGGCAGAATACGCCCCCCCCCCCTCCCGCCCATTCCTTACGCGCGGGCAGCAGCTGGCAGGGTTTCCCTAGCCCGTGGCGCTGCGGGGCGGCCGTCGCCTCCTCCTGCGGAACCTCTCCGCGCGGGAGGCGACGGCTGCCCAATTTCCTGCTCATCAAAGGCGGTCAGATATGTCGCCCCTTCCAGTGGCGCTGCCGAAGGGGCATCCTCTCGCGCTGCGGAGCCGCCCCGCGCAACGTGGGGCAGTCTCGCGGAGCCTCGCTGGATCGCCCACGGCACCATGCACGCTGTCGATCCCAGCTGTTCACTCTTCGGGAGTATCCCCCCCCTCTCTCCCAGAACCCCCCTCCCGCATCTCTCTCTCTCTCTCTCTTTTTTTTTTTTTTCTCTCTCTCTCTCTCTCTCTCTTTTTTTTTTTTTTTTTTTTTTTTTGTTTTTCTCGCTCTCTCTCTCTCTCTCTTTTTTTTTTTTGTTTTTTTTTTTTTTCTCTCTCTCTCTCTCTTTTTCTGTCTCTCTCTCTCTCTCTCCTCGCAGGCCGCCCCATCGAATACCCCCCCCCTGGAGCGATGGATGCGCGGGCTGGGCGGCGAGCGCCAGCGCCGCGACGAGCGGGGCGGCGGAGATACCTTGCCCGATGGAGGCTGCTGCGCCGCTTCGGGCCCCGCCAGTTCTGCCGACGTGCCCGCCCCGCCACCTCCTTCTGCGGGGCCGCCCCCGGCAGGAGATGGAGTCAGCTCCTGCGATGCCTTCCCTGTGCAGGCTGGCCCCTCGGAGCCAGGGCCAGCGCTGCCGCTTCGGAGCTTGGCCTAAGAATAGGGCTTGATGCGCAAGGCCTGCTTGTCGTGCACGCCCAGGAGGCCCTCTGCGCCATCTTTCTGCAATCTCCTTTGCTGGACGCCCCGCGCTGCGCCATCGGGGCCTTCACACATGGGGCTATTGCGCCCCTCAGGGTGGCCCTCCTGCCGCGTGCCAGGACGGACGTCACCTTCTGTGGCTGGTCGATCTCACTCAGTGCACGCTGTCGCAGATCCACGTTGCCATTACCGCCGCCATCGGCGGCGCTTCTATCGGCCGCGTCTGAGTGCTAAGCGCCAGGCCTGGCACCTGGAAACAGGATAGTACGTGTTCATGGCCCGAGTGCGCATCCGTGCCTGCGCCCGATGGAAGCCGCCTGCGTCGGAGCTGGCTACGTGGGCGACGCCCGTTGAAGAGCCAGGATCTTCCGGTGCACCCGCATACAGGGCCCCCATCGGTCGTCCTCTCGGCCCTCCCGCGCCCTCCTCGACGTCGACGGGGCCACGCGCGATCCCGCGGTCGCTAGGGCCACTCGACGCGCTGAGCACCCGCAGGTCTACAATCGTTCCCGCCAGAGTTGACGGGTGCTCGGCTGGCCCGCCTCGACAGCTCGCGATTCCCCGCGACGCGTGGATAAGAGACGAGCCTGATTTTCCTTTGAAATTTACTGCCGCTGGCACCTCTCGCGCCGAACTGTGGCCATTCGACCACCGGCCCCCCGACGTCCCACATCAGATCCGCCCGCCGCCCATCCCCCAGCTCTGGCTGCGGGAGGTCCAGGCCCACCTCCACCCTGCAGGCCCACTCGCCGTTCCTCCCAAACCAGACCAAGCCTTCCCCGTGATTTTTGCGGGGCTATGCACGCCCTTTTTTTCGGCATCCTGTGCGTAAGCTCGTAGGGAATAATTCAGCACAGTTTAATAAAACTGTGCTGGGTTTTTCTGGTCGTTTTTGTCCTCCCGCCTCTCGCCTCGGCCCATGCCCGAGCTGTGCGGCTTCCTTCCTCCTCTCCCTCCCTCTGCTCCCCTCTCTCCTCCTTCTGATCCTCTTGCCTCCCTCAGTGAGGCGCGGACGCGCGCGCCTAACGGCGGGGTCAGATGGCTCACGCCCCGCGGCCGCGTCCTCGCCCCGTGTGCTCTCGCCGCGCGTTGTTCGCAGCGGTCGTTTCCCCCTTCGTCCTTGTCCTAATCCTCCTTCCCCCCTCCTCTTCCTTTCGTTTTGGCCACGCTGGCAGGGCAGGGCTTCCTCAGAAGCACCCGTCCCTCGAGAGTGGTGCAGCCGCATTGGCAGGACAGAGTGTCGCCATGAGCGCCATCCCGCGGTACATTAAGTTCCCCAATCAGAGCTTGCTTCTGTAGGGGTCCTAGCGGATTCATATGGTTAGGTTAGGTTTGCCGCCGATTTTCGCTGCACGCCCGGGTGCCCGGGTGCCCGGGGGTGCTCGGGGGTGAGGTTGGCCGCCGATTTTCGCTGCACGCCTGGGTGCCCAGGGGGTGCCCAGGGGTGCCCGGGTGCCCGGGTGCTCGGGTGCCCGGGTGCCCGGGCGTGCCCGGGGGTCCCCGGGGATGCCCTATAGCCCTATAGCCCTATAGCCCTATAGCCGAATAGCCCACTAGCCCAATAGCCCAATAGCCCTACAATTCTGTAGCCCTATAGCTCTATAGCTCTATAGCTCAATAACCCTATAGCCCTATAGCCCCCTAGCCCTATAGCCCTGATTGTTTTTTTCTCCGGTATCATGCATGTTTTTTTCAGACAAGTCTTGCTTTCGAGTTCACGTGGTCGTGCACGGAGCTTGGGCTCATATTTGGTGATCGGCCGTCATGCGCTTCTTTCCAGCTTGAAACAGTTAATGACGATGATGATGAGGATGATGATGCTGGTGATGAAGATGATGTTGGTGATGACGATGCTGCTGATGATGCTGCTGCTGCTGATGATGATGATGATGATGATGGTGGTGGTGGTGATGATGCTGATGGCGGTGATGGTGATGGTGATGGTGATGGTGGTGATGATAATGCTGATGCTGGCGAGGAGGAGGACGATGATGATGCTGGTCGTGATGATGGTGATATTGCTGATGTTGGTTCTGATGATGCTGAAGCTGAGAAGGAGGAGGACGGGGAAGATCGGGAACATATATCCCACAGGAGGATGCTGACGATGACGCTGACCAGGAAGTATCCCGAGGGAGGCAACAAACTGAGAGACACGAGCCCGGATAGCGAATTGAGAAAGGGATTAAGGCAACGGTGTCAAGAGTTGGGTTGGTGTGGCTGGCTGGCTTCGCTGGGTAGTTGGGGTGTCTGTCCTGGCGGTGGTCGCTGGCTGGCTGGTCTGGGGTGGTTTGGCTTGCTAGCTGTGTTGGGCTGGCTACGCAGGCGCGACTTGGCTTCTTCAGTCGGCCATCCAGGGACCGTTGTATCAACTTCTGGTGTTCAGTCGAGCCTGTGCGGTGGCCTGATGCAGAGGAAACCTTGACATATGACAACATCGATCTCGCTTCAGCCTTTTGGGGGGGGGGGGGGGGGGGCGCGTTCACACCTAACCAACAATTCCGGAATCGCTGGCCCGACATACTAGCAATGCTGAACAACGTGGCGCGACCGGCAGCCTGGCTTCGGCACCCTCCGGAGCCCCTCTCTGGGGTATCACATTTCATAACGTTGCTTGTAATTCCCATGATGTCTTCGTGGCCGAAAGCCTGCAGCCTTCCGATCTGAAGCACGCCGGAGGAAACATCGAGTGGCTTGTGCCCACCGCCGCTGGCCCCCCTGCAAAGACATCGAGAGACGTCCAGAGGTTCGCGGGCATCGGGTGCCTGGGTTTTGCGGAATTACTTTCCGATCGCCTGGGTCATATGGGATGGCCTGGGGCAGGATCGGTGCAGACGCCATGATCGGGGCCCTCCTGTCCTGCTCCGCGTTCCGCCCTCCTGCCTCCCGAGAGGCGGAGGCCCAGATCATGAAGATCGCGGGCCGTTGGAGCGAGAGCCCGCGGAGGATAAAGAGCAAGGCGTCGCGGACCAGGCGGCTGCGCGCTGCTGGGCGGAGGGGTTCGGCGCTAGGGCTGGTTAGCGTAGCGGCGGCGGTGATGCGGGGGTGATTTGGTGGTGATGGCTTCGGCGGCGCACGGGCTTTTCGGGGTCTGCGGATTGAAAGACTCAGTCCGTCGGCTCAGAGGTCTGGGAAGGGAGGCTGCCTTACAAGAAGCCCCCCCGCCTGCCTTCGATAAACCTTGCTTCTGGGCCTTTTGAATGCCGCCCCGTCGCTCCATCATCCCCCTGTGCGCGCCACCAATTGTGACGTTGGTGGAAATGATGATGATGCTGATGCTGATGCTGATGCTGATGCTGCTGATGCTGATGCTGATGCTGATGCTGATGCTGATGACGATGACGATGACGATGACGATGATGATGATGATGATGATGATGATGATGATGATGATGATGATGATGATGATGATGATGATGATTATGATACTGATGATGATGGTGGTGGTGGTGATGGTTGTGATGGTGGTGATGGTGGTGATGATGATATTCTGATGATGATGATGACAATGATGATGATGATGATGATGATGATGATGATGATGATGATGATGATGATGATGATGATGATGATGATGATGATGATGATGATGATGATGATGATGATGATGATGATGATGATGATGATGATGATGATGATGATGATGATGATGATGATGATGATGATGATGATGATGATGATGATGCTGATGATGATGATGATGATGATGATGATGATGATGATGATAATGATGATACTGATTATGACGATGGTGATGACGATGATGGTGATGGTGATGATGAAGATGATGATGATCGTAGAAGAGAGTACGGATGCTATTGATTGCGTTGGCCCTGCAGAGGGGGACGCTGGCGGGACCCTTGGCTGATCTGACCCTGGGACCGCTGGCACGCTTCGGCTCGAAGCTAGACCCTCTGGCGCAAAACGTTCGTTTGTGCATGTCTCCCGGTTTGCTCCTCCTCCTCCTCCTATTCCTCCTCCTCCTATTCCTCCTCCTCCTCCTCCACCATTCCCTTTCCTTATAAGGGAGTCTTCCCTGCTGCATCCCGGGATGTGTCGGTCGGGCGGGCCCGGCGTTTCGCCTGAGGCTCCCTCACAGTTCATGATCCTGAAGCTTAAAAGTTGCAACAGTTTCACGGATGGAGGGTGGGTCGTGTTGAAACTGTGGTTCTCGTTTTAGCGCCGCGCATATTCGTGTTAAACATGTGCAAGAGTTGCACAGATGGAGGGTGGGCCGTTCTTAAAATGCGGCTCTCGCCTACGCGCCGCGCGTTCGTCTTAAGAGTTTGAAAGCGTTTCACGGGTGGAGGGCGGGCCGTTTTCAAAATGTGGTTCTCGCCTTCGCTCCGCGCATTCGTCTCAAGAGTTTGAAAGAGTTTCACGGATTCAGGGCAGGTTGTTTTCAACATTTGGTTCCTCGCCTTCGCGCCGCGCACATTCGTCTTGAGGGTTTGCAGCGTTTTGTCTTATTATTATGGCTGGCGTCCCAGAAGCTGCTCTTTGGCACGATGTAGGATTTTCAGGGAGCAACAGTCACGTCGATTCGCGGTTTTGACGTTTCAGGAGTTGTGTTCTGGCGCGATTCAGAATCGTGAGGATGCAACAGTAACGTTGATTTGTGGCGTTGAGGTCCCAGGAATGGTGTTTTGGCACGGTTCAGGATTCTCATCGGATTATTTTCCAACGGGGCACTTCCCAAAGTGAGAATAAATGCTTGTAGGGGCCTGTGTAGGGGGAACTTCGAGGAATGGTTTGTTGCAACACCGTTGGTGGGTCTTGGGTTTGAACTGGTCCTCCTCCTCCTGCTCCTCCTCCTCTTTTCTGTTCCTCATCCTGCCGCTGTTCTTATTTCGTGCTGCTGCTCCCTGTCCTTCGAGGTCCCGGGAGGTCCGCGGAGGCCCCCAGAGGTCCCCAAGGCCTCTGGAGGCCTCCGCAGGTCCCTGGAGGCCCCCAGAAGCCTCGGGAGGCCTCGAGGGCCAGCGGGTGCAACAACGTCTAAATTCAATGCCCCCTGATCCGGACAAGCCGCGCCAGGCAGCGCTGTCGAAGCCCCTCCTGCAGCCGCAGCCGCAGTCGCTCCAGAAGCGGGAGCGAGTCGCGGCGTAGCAGCTCCTGGAAGGACCGTTGGCGGCTCGGGGCGGCATTTCTTCTTTTTTTTCTTCGTCTTCTTCTTCTTTCCTTTTGTATTTGTTACTGGTACGAAGACGATTGCGGATCGGAGGTTGGAGGGTGAGATCGCAGTGTAACGGAGTCCCCCCACTGGGAAATCGAGTTTCGACTTCGTGCTCGTGCCGTGCGTGCGGGCGAGGCGAAGCTGCGTGGGCCAGCGCGAGGAATTCACCCTGCTGTCGCTAGGGGTCCGCCAACACAAATGTTTCCCCCCCCCCGGCCTTGTCAAGCGGTAGCCCACGTTGTCCCGTCGGTTGCCCGCCGGTTGCTCATCATGGTTGTTCATCATGGTTGCTCATCATGGTTGCTCATCATTGTCCCGCCGGTTGCTCATCATGGTTGTTCATCATTGTCCCGCCGGGTGCTCATCATGGTTGCTCATCATGGTTGTTCATCATGATTGTTCATCATTGTCCCGCCGGTTGCTCATCATGGTTGCTCATCATTGTCCCGCCGGTTGCTCATCATGGTTGTTCATCATGGTTGTTCATCATTGTCCCGCCGATTGCTCATCATGGTTGCTCATCATTTTCCCGCCGGTTGCCCATCATGCTTGCTCATCATGGTTGCTCATCAAGGTCGCTCATCATTGTCCCGCCGGTTGCTCATCATGGTTGCTAATCATGGTTGCTCATCATGGGACACCATCATGGTTGTTCATCATGGGACACCTTCTCTTGCTTCTCCTTCCCGTATCCTTTGTTTTTTATATTTATAACCTAATTACTTAAATCTTGAGTCGGCTCAAGGGCTCAGGCCAGGCGACGCAAGTCGGTCAGCTCGTCGCTTTTTTGCTAGGACGAAGGCTCGATTGCCATTCATCGCCCCCCTCCTCCTCCCACCCATCGTCGACTGGGACGTCGTGGGCTGAGTGCCGCGTCGCGCACCGGCAAACGGAACGACACAAGTCGCCCAAGCGAAGGAACAAACAAACATCCGCCACGTCATCCACACCACCATCGCCCATCAGCACTTCGTTCATCACAGTTGTCGTCATGAGCCACCCCCCTCCCCGTACCCCCCCCACAACCTCCTTATCATCCGCAGGGTGGTCGTATAGTATTATTGCTATTTCCATGTGATTGCTACCGATAGGACCATCCTACGGGTGTTAAGGAGGTTTGGGGGGGAAGGGGCGGGCGGTCGATTTGCAATGGGTCTGAGTTCCTTGCTGGTTTCTTCAACTGTCCCGTCTATCATCCGACCTATATATCGGAGGTTGGGGGGTGAGATCGAAGTGGAACGGAGAGCCCCCCCGCCGGGAAATCGAGTTTCGAGTTCGTGCCGTGCGTGCGGGCGAGGCGAAGCTGCGTGGGCCAGCGAGAGGAAGTCACCCTGCTGTCGCTAGGGGTCCGCCAACACAAATGTTTCCCCTCCCGGCCTTGTCAAGGGGTAACCCACGTTGTCCCGTCGGTTGCCCGTCGGTTGCCCGCCGGTAGCCCATGTTGCCCCGACGGTTGCCCGTCGGTGCACCCATCGTCGACTGGGGCGTCGCGGGCTGAGCGCCGCGTCGCGCAGCGGCAAGCCGAACGACACAAGTCGCCCAAGCGAAGGAACAAACAAACATCCGCCACGTCATCCACACCATCATCGCCCATCAGCACCACGTTCATCACAGTTGTCGTCATGGGCCGCCCCCCTCCCCCCACCCCCCCACAACCTCCTTATCACCCGCGGGGTGGTCGTATAGGTATATCGGAGGTTGGGGGGTGAGATCGAAGTGGAACGGGGATTCCCCCACCGGGAAATCGGTTTCGGTTTCGTGTTCGTGTCGTGCGCGCGGGCGAGGCGAAGCTGCGTGCGCGGGCGAGAGGAATTCATTCTGCTGTCGCTAGCGGCTCGCCAACATAAATGTTTCCCCCTCCGGCGCGTGTCAAGCGGTGGCCCGCGTTGTCCCGTCGGTCGCCCGCCGTTGTCCTGTCTGTCGCTAGTGGTTTGCCAACGCAAATGTCCCCCCCGCCGGCGCGTGTCAAGCGGTGGCCCGCGTTGTCCCGTCGGTTGCCCGCCGTTGTCCTGTCTGTCGTCAGTGGTTCGCCAACGTGAATGTTTCCCCCGCCGGCGCGTGTCAAGTGGTATCCCGCATTGCCCCGTCGGTCGCCCACCGTTGTCCTGTCTGTCGCTAGTGGTTCGCCAACATAAATGTTTCCCCCGCCGGCGCGTGTCAAGCGGTAGCCCTCGTTGTCCCCTCGGTCGCCCGCCGCTGTCCTGTCGTGACATCGAGGGTGTCATCGATAGTGAGATCGACCGGGCCGTCGTGGGGTGAGCGCCGCGTCGCGCAGCGGCAAACCGAATGACACAGAACGCCCAAGCGAAAGAACAAACAAATCCGCCACGTCATTCACGCCATCATCGGCCATCAGCACCACAGTTGTCGTCATTGCCCCCCCCCCACAACCCCCTTATCACCCGCGGGGTGGTCGTGTAGGTAGATGCGCCGACTTTTCGATTCAGTGTGCCGATCTCTATCGATCTATATGTCTATCTATATATCAACATATATATCTATATCTCGATCCACCTATCTTTCTATCTCTGCATCAAACATCGGGGCGCCATCGGGGCAACCAAGGGGGCAACCATCGGGATAACCATCGGGGCAACCATCGGGGCAACCATCGGGGCAACCATCGGGACAACCATCGGGATAACCATCGGGGCACTCGTCGGGGCAACCATCGGGACAACCGTCGGGACAACCATCGGGGCAACCATCGGGACAACCATCGGGGTAACCATCAGGACAACCATCGGGAGGACCATCGGGACAACCATCGGGGCAACCATCGGGACAACCATCGGGGCAACCATAGGGACAACCATCGGGGCAGCCATCGGGGCAACTACCGGGACAACCGTCGGGACAACCATCGGGGCAACCGTCGGGGCAACCATCGGGACAACCACCAGGACAACCGCTGGGACAACGATCGGAGCAACCATTGGGGCAACCGTCGGGGCAACCGTCGGGGCAACCATCGGGGCAAACATCAGGGCAACCATCGGGGCAACCATCGGGGCAATCATGGGGGTAACCATCGGGGCAACCACCAGGGCAACCATCGGGGCAACCATCGGGGCAACCATCGGGGCAACCGTCGGGGCAACCGTCGGGACAACCATCGGGGCAACCATCGGGACAACCAATCGGGGCAACCATCGGGGGAACCATCGGGGCAACCATCGGGGCAGCCATCGGGGCAACCATCGGGGCAACCAATCGGGGCAACCGCCGGGGCAACCATCGGGACAACCGTCGGGGCAACCATCGGGGCAACCGTCGGGGCAGCCATCGGGAGAACCGCCGGGACGACCGTCGGGGCAACCATCGGGACAGTCACCGGGGCAACCATCGGGGCCACCATCGGGGCAACCATCGGGGCAACCATCGGGACAACCATCGGGGCAACCATCGGGACACGCATCGGAACAACCAATCGGGGCAACCATCGGGGCAACCATCGGGGCAACCATCGGAGCAACCATCGGGGCAACCATCGGGGCAACCATCGGGAAAACCACCAGGGCAACCATTGGGGCAACCATCGGGGCAACCACCGTGGCAACCGCCGGGACAACCATCGGGGCAACCATCGGGCCAACCATCGGGGCAACCATCGGGGCAACCATCGGGGCAACCAATCGGGGCGGCCATCGGGACAACCATCGGGGCAACCATCGGGGCAACCAAGGGGGGGCAACCATCGGGACAACCATCGGGGCAACCAATCGGGACAACCATCGGGGCAACCGTTGGGGCAACCGTTGGGGCAACCATCGGGGCAACCAGCGGGACAACCGCCAGAACAACCACCGGGACAACCATCGGGACAACCATCGGGGCAACCATCGTCACAACCATCGGGGCAACCATCGGGGCAACCATCCCTCGGGGCAACCATCGAGACAACCATCGGGGCAACCACTGGGGCAACCATATGGACAAACAGCGGGGCAACCATCTGGGCAACCATCGGGGCAACCAATCGGGGCAGCCATCGGGACAACCATCGGGACAACCATCGGGGCAACCATCGGGACAACCGTCGGGGCAACCATCGGGGCAACCATCGGGGCAACCATCGGAACAACGAATCGGGACAATCATCGGGGCAACCATCGGGACAACCATCAGGACAACCATCGGGGCAACCATCGGGACAGCCATCGGGGCAACCATCGGGACAACCATCGGGACAACCATCGGGAGATCCATCGGGGCAGCCGAGGGGATAACCATCGGGACAACCATCGGGACAACCAATCGGGACAACCATCGGGGCAACCATCGGGACAACCATTGGGTCAACCATCGGGACAACCATCGGGGCAACCATCTGGGCAACCATCGGGGCAACCATCGGGACAACCGCCGTGGCAACCATCGGGGCAACCATCGGCGCAACCATCGGGGCAACCATCGGGGCAACCATCGGGGCAACCATCGGGGCAACCATCGGGGCAACCGTCGGGACAACCATCGGGACAAACATCGGGACAACCACCGGGGCAACCATCGGGACAACAATCGGGATAACCAATCGGGGCAACCATCGGGACAACCATCGGGACAACCATCGGGGCAACCATCGGGACAACCATCGGGGCAACCATCGGGGCAACCATCGGGACAACAACCGGGGCAACCATCGGGGCAACCATCGGGGCAACCAGCGGGGCAACCAAGGGGTCAACCATCGGGGCAACCATCGGGGCAACCATCGGGGCAACCAATCGGGACAACCATCGGGGCAACCATCGGGTCGACCATCGGGGCAACCATCGGGGCAACCATCGGGGCAACCATCGGGGCAACCATCGGGGCAACCACTGGGGCAACCATCGGGGCAACCATCGGGGCAACCGCCGGGGCAACCATCGGGACCACCATCGGGACAACCATCGGGACAACCATCGGGGCAGCCATTGGGACAACCATCGGGGCGACCATCG